AACATGTCCTTTGGATAAATCAAATAAATCTGATTGATTTAAAATTTCCTTCATGATTTCGTTCTTTTCATTACCATCTTCACCAAGATTAATCATGGAAAACTCAGATGATTTCTTATCATTAATAAGAGTATTTGCCTCTAAACAATTTTGCACAATAACGCCATTCATATCAAGATAAAGTGCTGTTCGAAGAGCTTGATGTTTCAAAATGACAAATTGAAATGCATGTTGTAGTCGTGAAATTGATAAATTATCATTTATACATGAGATGCGATAAATCATTGGAATAGCATACATGTTGCTATTGTTTGAAGATGAGAAACGAATTTGTTCATCCAAATAGATTCGTTCTTGTGCAAATGATGCTTTTGCTATAAATAGCAAATATAGTTAATAGAACATTCTTTTAAATTCTGTGTTACCTTTTATGATATGTAATGAAGACCAATGATGATCATTAATATGCTGCGTCACATTCATAGTATGATAGATGAGCTGAGCATGATCCACAATTGTTGGATGTTGAAATAGACTACCAATAGAAAGAGAATTGGTTTTGAGATGAAATTGAGTTTTGTATCGATGAAACAGTTGCATAATGATTAATGAATGACCACCGATACTGAAGAGGTTTGTATCAACTAAGATTTGTTTTTGTTTTAATATGTCACACCAAATATGATGAATAATGATTTCAGTTTCATTCATTTGTAACAATAGTTCTTCATGATTTGTGAGATGCATTGACGAAAAATTAGGTGGTGGAAGAAGTTTTCGATCTATTTTTCCATTTTGATTCAGAGGTAGTTTATCGAGTATAACAAATATGGATGGAATCATATGTGGTGGAAGATGAGATTGACAATGTTGACGTAGTTGTTCTTCATTCACATGAGAAGATTGAACATATGCAACTAAATAGTCATCATTCCATTTCATGACAACACAAGCAGAGATAGATGAAATGTTAAGTAAACATCGTTCGATTTCACCAAGTTCGATTCGTTGTCCATGAAGTTTGATTTGATGATCTTTTCTTCCTTGATAATGAAGAAGACCATTGTCATCCATTGTAACAAGATCACCTGTTCGATAGAATAGCTGACCATCTATTTCAAGAAGAGCTTTCGCAGTTAAATCATCACGTCCAAGATAACCAGCAAAAACACCCACTCCACCTACGCACAGTTCACCTTCTTGATCGATAAACACACTTTGTGAGAATTGATCTAAAGTTAGATTTTGATAATTTGAAAGTGGTCTGCCTATTGGAAAGCTTTTAGTCTTCATTGTATTATCGAAAAGATAAAACGTGCAAGCAATTGTTGTTTCAGCAGGACCATATATGTTCCATAGTCGACAACTATGGGTTACAGTATTTGATATTATATTTATTAGTTTCAAAGAGCAAGGTTCACCTAGAGATAAAATCATATACTATCAGAAATAAAACATTTCATATAAGCATCACATACCAGCACTACAAACTGATCGCAGATATTGTGTAACAGTACGATAATTTTGTTGCTGCAGATAAGTGAAGAAATTTTGAATTATAGTTGGAACAGTAGTAATACAAGTAATATTCTTTTCTTTGAAAACACTAGCAAGACAGTCAAAGTCCATAATTCCCCTTGGATGTAGCATAATTAGACTACTTCCCATCATAAAGGTGCCCATTATATCTTGAACATGAGCATCATAAGAACAACGTGCGATTTGAAGAATTGTATCTTTCGCATTCACTACATGGCCATAAATTAACGAATACATAAATTCAATAAAATTCGTGTGTCGTACTTGAACCTATAAGAAAGTACAAAAAACAATCAAAATGTCTAAAAGCTAAACTTCAACGAACTGCTTTAGGTATTCCAGTCGAGCCACTTGTGAAAATGATATAAGCTAGATCATCCAGTGTCACTTTTATACTTGATAATTCATCAATATCAATATTTCTTTTCATATTATTAACAATCAATATTGAATCAATATCAAGTGAAACAATGTCGTGATCAAATTTGATCTTAGTTAAATAATGAACAAGAACAAGATGACTTTGACTTTGTTTTACAAGAGCCTGTACACGATGTTGTGGATCCCGAGGTGATAATGGACAATAAATACCACCAACCATTTCAATTGCCATTATACCAATCACCTATATAATATGAAAAATATTAATCAGACAGAAAACCAATGTCAAAGAATATCTTACCATCGATAAACTTCTCTCAACACATTGACACACGACCTCACCTGGAGTGATAAGATATTCATTAAGAAGACTGAAAGATAAGACTTGAACATAATACAACAGTTCACAGTATGTTAATGATTGTTCATCTAGTTCAACTGCTAGTTTTTGTGGATGTTTCATTACTTGATATACAAACTCATGATGAATACAAGTGCGAGAAGATGAAAATGATATTTGTGTATTATTCATCGATTGCATTAGATATTGCTCATTTGATAATATTATTGATAATTCATAGATAGGTTTGTTTATTTGATTGTTAATAACAGATGTAGATAATTGATCTAAAGTGGAATGAAATCGTTGTGAAATCT